CTGATCAGGTTGTCTAGGGGCAACTGCTGTTAAATTAATGGTTTTAATAATCATTTATTGCTAATTTATTGATTACTGATGCTGGCTGATCAGGATCAATATCAGCTTATTGTACTCCCTCTTTATCGGCTGTGTGTGTGTGTGTGTGTGTGTGTCTCTCATTGATGCACATGAAGGCTTTACTCACAGCCCTCACAGTTCCGCTCTTATTTTGAAACGCGTGGCCGGAAGCCCCGCGCTGTCCTGACTCCGGTCCCTCCTCAGCATCACCGCATCCTCCGCCACCTTCCCCCCTCGGTACGGGACCTGAAGCTGACCCCGTTAGGAGACTAAAGCCGGGATAATGGACGACGTCCCTCCGATCATCAACATCTCCATCTCCCTGCGGATCCAGCCCAACGAGGGGCCCGTGTTCTTCAAGGTGGACGGGACCCGGTTCGGCCAGAGCAGGACCATCAAACTGCTCACTGGCTCCAAATACAAGATCGAGGTGGTGCTGAAGCCTGGAAACGTCGAGGCCACGTAAGAAGAACATCTCTTATAAACGGAGATTGTCCTTGTGGTCAGGGTTCTAGCGGCGGACGGTGTGGTTCTGCAGCAGGAGGCCACAGGGAGCGGGTTCCCTCAGCAGTCCTTGAGATTCTAAAGGTCATACAGATATAAACAGAACATCAGGATCAGGAAGAAAGAGCGTTTATAAAGAGAGATTAAAGCCGCAGTGGGCGTCCATGTTAGTGGTTCCTCCTGCAGGCCTGAAGCATCACATATCCGCCTGAATAAATCATGTGTGTGTGTGTGTGTGTGCGTGCGTGTTTACTGGTGTCAGGATGCGTCGGTCTGTCTGTGTGCTGGTGTACAGACAGACAGACAGACAGACCGACAGTTCATGTGGGCTCTGTTGGGGAGCAGGGCGGGTCCACTGTGCTTTTAACATAACAGAGTTTATACTGAGAACCAGTGTTGGGCTCAGAAAAGTAGTCAAAAGTAATTGAATTACTTATTACAGCAATTAGTTACACTACTAGTTATATTACTTATATATAAAAATGGTTAATTGTGTCGTTTCTCCCTGAAATTCAGACGATTAAATTCCAGTTTTGTTTGTTAAAATCAAAGTAATCAGAGTATTTCCAAACTAGTTTCCTCCACAATTACAGAAACAAATCCAACGATGTGATTGGATCGTTTCAGATCAGGATGAACAGAAGTAACGTAGCTAATTATGTTGATGGGGTTAATAATATGAATTATTATTAATTATATTATAGTATTATCTTTTATTTTCTCACTGAAGGTGCTGAAATGTTCCCATCACTTAAAATAAAGCTTTAAACTTCCTCCTCTTCCTCCTCTTCCTCCTCACAGCACCATGAACATCGGAGGCATCGTCTTCCCTCTGGAGCAGCAGTCCAGGGACGAGGAGTCGGTGGTTTATCACGCCCTGTACGACACCGAGGGCGTCCCGCACACCAAGAGCGGAGACCGGCAACCCGTCCAAGTCAGCATGGAGGTACGGCGGCGGCAGCAGCGGCGGCACAGTGAGGAGATATCACGGCTGCTGCTGAGAGAAATGTAGAAATCAGTCAAATGAAATCAGGGTCGTTCAGACTGAAATGTTTGATCGGTTGTCTGCGAGTCTCTGCTCCGATATCACGTAATTTATTAGCCACGAAACAGAACCTTGCTGCTTCCTGTTAGCCGCTTTGTTCCCAGGATGGTGATGACCTTACCATAACCCTAACCTCAACCTAAACAACCAAACCAACAAAGTACTAGCCAATCAGGGTGAAGAGTAGAGTTATCTACGGTTTTAGAGCGCTGAAGAAGAGTTTCCGGTAGTCTAACATTAGCCAGAGCTAGCTAAATATCATCAATCTGGAGATATTTCACACGTGTGCAGCAGCGATCGCACAGGGTCTGGATCAATGCTGGAATCTGATTGGCTGCAGGGTGTCCATTAATTACTGATGTAGGCTTGTAGCTGAGCTAAAACGCTCTGGGAGCAGCGGGAACTAGAAATATCTCCCGTTGCTAAGTCGTATCTGAGGTTCGTCCTATTTACTGGAGCAACGTTTTCCTTATTAAAACTTTAGATTTTGATTGTAAAATGAATAAAAATATAAATTAATGGTCTTAATTCTTTGGTAAGTGTCCGTGGAATCGGCGGGATGTTGCCCTTTGAGGAACCGTCCGACGCACAGTGCAGATAATGGACCTTGTTGAGCTTCATCCTTTAAATAATATATATATTTCTTAACGTGAAATCGTATCTGAACATCTCTGAAAGAGCAGAATGATAATTCCTGCTGCATTGTGGGTGATGACGATTCTGTTTCTGTGCAGTTTAACAAGGCGGGGACGTTTGAGACGGTCTGGCAGGCGAAATACTACAACTACTACAAGAGGGAGCATTGCCAGTTCGGCAACAAGTTCAGCAGCATCGACTACGAATGCAAGCCTAACGAGACGCGGACCCTCATGTGGATCAACAAGGAGGCGTTCAACTGAGTCGGCTCATCCTCCCGCTGTCCACGCTCCGTACACCGAGCAGAGGACACCAGTTGTACCAGGACTACTTTTGAACATCAGCATCACAATAAAAGGACAGCCTCATCCTAAAGGCAGGCGTCAAGTCAGCGAGGGTTTGGTGTTTGTGTTGTTTTGTGAGAAAGGGGAAAGAAAGAATAGCTGTTAGCTGTGCTAGTCTTTAAGGGGTTTTTGTTTGAAAGCTTCACTCTGCAATGATGCTTTCTGACTTCACGCCAGCAAAAGGGAATCATTTGAAAAGCATTTGGCTAATATTCAGAAATCCTACACACACGTTTCTGTTTGCTAACTCGGCAGGTTTGATGTTGTTTTCTATCAAAGGAAACTAAAAGAAGCTGCAGAGTTTAGCTTTAAAGCGGTTGAAGGAACAGTCGGATGTTTTGTGAATATAAAATAAAATTCATCTCAGTGTGTTTCGTGTAGAGATATGTCCAGGATGTGTTCAGCCCAGCGTAGCTCAAAGACTGGAGCACTCAGCTATAAGGCACCGCAGTGAAAACCATCGTAACAACCATTTTCTTACCATCAATGAGCGGTTTTACTCAGGTAACGATGCCGACATCATCACTTCTATCTGCTGCCAATGCTACAATCCCATTGGACGGATTTGATTGAACTTCTGGCTACAACACCTGGTAGACTCAATCGTCAAAGACCCATTTGTGATCTTCTGTCTGGCTGTAATGATATAACGTTAAGATCCAATATTCCCACAGACTGTACCAGACACAACCCTAGCCTGCTATAGCTAGCTAGCACTTTCCACTCCAGGATATAGTTGTGGGAAGCTGCTAGCATCATCAGAAGAGGAAAACATACAAACAAATCCAAAGTCTGATTTCGTTATCCAACAAGCGAGTCAGCAATCCGTCTTGTAGGCAGCTGGGTTTAGTTGACTGTACAGTTAGCACAGAGATAAAATCTGGCAACCCAACTATTACCGCATTTCCATCGAGACAGTTTAAGAACTGGTTCGGAGCGATGCTGAACCTCGAACCAGTTCTTAGCTTTTCAACAGCCAAAGAACCGGTTCTGGTTCCAGCGCAGCACCAAAACTTTGCTGGTCTAAAACCAAGAACCTCTTACATCAGGGGCAGCTAGCTATGTATTTATTAGATGTTTAGTGAGCTTTAATAATAATAATATTAATAATAGTTATAATAGCTTACGTTAGAGATGTATAGTGACGTAATGATGTGGCTCTATGGTGGTTAATCCGTAGAAAAGCATCTGTTTGAACTCCGGCACTAGCACTGATGCTAAAACCCAAAATGTCCCATAATTTCTGCACCTGTTCAATAAACATGATACATCACGGGAAACTTTTAACTTTTTTTGGGAGGTGCATTTGTTCACTTTTTATGGAGCTTGTCTAGCAGTTTCCACTTGCTTCCAGTCTTTGTGCTAAGCTAGGCTTTATATTGGATCTCTACTGGACTGAAGAGTTAGCCCCAAAATGTTCCAACTGTTCCTTTAAGGTGGACTAAAAAGAGAAATACCCCTCGATAATTAAATGTATCGCAGCACGAGGCGGGAGGAACCGAGCGCAGCAGCTAGGGTTAGCTGAAGACCAGGATGGAAGACACCTGTGGACGGAGGAAGTATTTGACCATATTTATTAAATGTGTGGATGTGTCCGTGAGAGAGGAGAGACGACGTTTGAGAGCGTGTACATCATTGTAATTGTTTTGACTTTTCTTATGTGTTACATATTCTGTTATTTATGGAAAAATCCACCAAAAACACAAAAACACTGACGAGACAAAACAAGAGAAATGTAGCAGCAGGATTTAAGAAAAAGAGGTTTTCTAAAGAAGGAAACAGACAATATGAGTTCTTACAGTGTGAAGGGATGATGGTGGGTTTCTCCTTTAAAGGGAACGACTGGTGTTACTCTAAATTTACACAAAAACCAACAACATGTTCAAAAAGGTTCAGTGATTTCCTGAAACAGCTGCTCACTTTATTAAAGAAAAAACAAAACCCAGCGGAGGAGGAACTATTTTCAGCGGTGGATGAATCCACATATGGTGCTCTATAGTGAGATTGAGTCAAAATAAACTGCACTACGGCTCATTGGTGTGTTTTTTAATAGTTTTTTTTTACAACAGTGGAGCTCAGAGGACAAAGATACACACATTGTTAGTAGATACATTCACCGTTCGTTTGTTGACAGTAAGTAAAATGTAGAATATCACCAGACTTCTCCTTTAAGCCTTCGGACGCCTCTGTCTGTCTTTTGTTGGAGACGCGATGCTTCTTATCGCAGGCTGCTTCACTTTGTGTTACATTTGTGCTTCAGCGGCTGTTTTTTATTGTCTCTGTTTCCTCCTGAAGTGCATGGCTGGATTCATTTTGCCAAATTTGATCTGTTTGTTAGTTCTTTGTTAAGATATCTCGATGCCTACACCTTGCTGTTTGGTTATGTGTTGGACTTAAGGAGTATAAAGTGTCTTTGTGAATAAAAGAGTATACTGAACCAATTATTATTGTTATAAACTTGAATATTTCAGTTTTGCAGTGGTGGAGGAAATATCTTGATCCTTTACTGACGTATTAATACCGCACAGAACAAATCACTTTACTGTCATTTGTCACAGCCTGAGGGTCTAATATAAAATACTTAAATAATACACAGCAATAAAACATCATACACACAACTAAAAACAGAGTTATGAAGGTGGGAGTACAGAGTGCATACGTGTATGTAAGTGAAACCTGAGATTATCTCACAGTGTGGGCAGCATTAGCAGTCAGCACCATGAGCAGTGTAACACTTATTTTAATATTATATATGGAAATAATAGTGTACAAATATTAAAGGACTAAGAATATTAATAATATAAATGATGACTTATGTTATTATGAGGAAAATGTATGAAAAATAAAAGTACTGTTCACAAAACAAGGTGCTTGAAGCAGAACAGAGCTGGGGGTCCCTGTCGGTGCAAACGGACTACGATGCCGTCCTGGAGGATCATCAGAGTCGACTGCGTGAGGTTCGCTGAGCTCAGGAAGCTTCAGTCTGAAGGTGATCGGCCTTTCAGAGCGAGTTAGGAAGAAGGTTGGGTACGTTGGGATGAAGGGGGTCGACTGGAGCCACAGTGGGATGATCTTACAGCTTCATCATCCCCCGCTGGTTCCTGTAATGGAAGAAGGAAGAATGAACTCTTAATATCTTTACTGGAAACGGAAGCAGCCACTTGAAGTCGAGTGTGAGGCCACAGTCTCGACCCCTGATGGTGTTTTTCCACCAAATTAACTCTGGTTCTTGATCCGGTTTGAGGAACCTTGGCGCTACCGATGGTGGAACCATTGTACACTGTGTCATCAACAGAGGACGGTTCAAAACGAGGTGCTTGAACCACAACAGAGCCGGTTCTCTGTGAAGACCTGTGAGTGATAAACATCATAAATATCACTGATACATTAATGTGTAAGTCACATTTTACTGTTGTAGTAGATAATGTTTCATTGTTTTATAAACTGGTAGTTTAAACCATAACAATTCATTTTATATCAACCAGGAGATTAGGGGCCTCCACTAGGGGTCGCCAAAGCCTCAACAGGGGTTGTGAGGGCCTTCTTGATTTGAAGGTTGAAAGAAAATATACATATTGATCGATATCTCAGTTATTTAATTAAAGAAAACTGAATGAAACTGTTATTTTTAAAGAGTAGATTATTATTTAAGATATAAACTGAACTCAAGCTATTGGTTGTATACAATGTTTGTTGTTATTGATAATCTTTGATGTTTGTTGTTATTGGTTGTATACAATGTTTGTTGTTATAGGCTGTATATGATGTTTGTTGTTATTGATGATCTTTGATGTTTGTTGTTATTGATGATCTTTGATGTTTGTTGTTATTGGT